ATGAGTAATGTTCGATTTGATTGCAGTTTATCGTACTGCTCAGAGGTCTGAAGCTCAGGTTGCCACGCTGGTGGTCCAATTTCAATTCTCGGTAGGCCCGACATTTTTTTTTCTGGCTTGTCAGTTATTTCAATTTTTCTTTTTTTGTTTCCTTTGGACATATGGGATAATATGGATAAGAACTTTTTCAACTATTTCAATCGCTCATGCATTCAGGGCAGTTATTTCCAAAAGCTGCGTTAGTAGAAAAAATCTTGTGTGTATTTCGAGCACAAAGTGTTATTGCCGCTCTCCAAAGATTACCGCGCTCCGCTCCGCATCGCGCGGTAACTTTCTTTGTCGAGCGGCAATCTATCACTTTGCGGTCTAAATACACAAATAGCTATATCATATATCATATATCTGCTCAATCCCTCCAAACTTCAATCAACATTCAATTATCAGAAAAGTCACCTATTTCCAACAAAAAAGGAACAATCGAAACAAACATTCTCATAAAAAAATAATCATATTCCTATTTTGAACCTACAAATACTCACAAATATCACAAAATACAGCTACATAGGTAGTTATAAGATTTGTGTATGTACAAGGCGATTCACCATAAATGTCCCCCCCTCTAGCTCGGTTATTTTTAAACCGATTTCAAAATTTGAAATATCATCTTGGATAATTGTCGATTAAGTTTTTTTCCAATACATCAGAAAATACAGGGTGCTCGGAACAAACGGTCAACAGGGTACTATTTGATTTTTTTATATGGAACACCCTATTTTTCATTGTATTTTCAGATTCTCCCTGAAGAGCTGATTTGGTTGATGTATCACACTTGGGATCTAGCGGGAATGATTACAGAGATATAGGGTGTTCAAAATCGAGATTTTTCAATTTTAGGATTTTTTTGAGACGAAACTATTCATCATCGGTCAAAACGGCTTTCATGTCCATATCTTAGCTTTTGATTTACTACATATGGGATAATATGGATAAGAACTTTTTCAACTATTTCAATCGCTCATGCATTCAGGGCAGTTATTTCCAAAAGCTGCGTTAGTAGAAAAAATCTTGTGTGTATTTCGAGCACAAAGTGTTATTGCCGCTCTCCAAAGATTACCGCGCTCCGCTCCGCATCGCGCGGTAACTTTCTTTGTCGAGCGGCAATCTATCACTTTGTGCTCTAAATACACAAATAGCTATATCATTCTACAATAATTATTATTATCGTCACGGAATTCCAAATAAACCAGAAGTAGGAATGCGAATGAATCAGAAGTGGGATTACGCATAAATCAAAAGTGGGATTAGATACATATGAATCAAAAGTGGGAGAAGTACAGAGAAAAGTATCCCCAGTATTTTTGAAAGAACTTTAACGAGCCGACATAAGTTTCTGTAAACAAGAATTCTCCATCGGCAACGTCTAACGAACTCCGCCAACGCGATCACAGAGAAAGGAGGGCTCGGTAGGGTAGGGTAGCACGGCGGGATGGAATAGGATGAAGGGGTGGGTGGCATGCGGGGTGGGGGTCGATTCCTAAAAGGCGCTAGGCACGTCTCAGACTTATCCTCTTCCCTCGGCGGATCCCATCAAATGGATCCGTAATGAAGTTAGTCCGCCCTCCCCCCTCGGCGATGAGCTGCCTCCTCACCCTCCGAATTGAGACCGAATATACGCGTCGCTCTCTTAGAGGCGGCCTAATGCATGCACCAGACTTTCTTTTGTTTGTGCCCCCGTTCGGGGGCCTTCTGAAGATACCACCCCCATCCACCTATGTGTCGACGACATTTCACCATTTTGTGGTGATTCCTCATGTTTAAATTGAATCAGAGATATATATACATATCTTATATAATACACTCACCGGCAAACTAAACTGGCCACCAAAAAATTTGCCCAAATTGTGCACATTATAACTTTTCCAATCCTTGTCGGATTTATGTGAAATCTAGATCAAATGGTAGATTCATGTTCCGGAATGTTAGCCTAAATATTCATTTTCCTGAAAAGCTGATGACTCGATCATTATACAGGGAAAAACCAAAGTTACTCTTTCACCTTATACGTTTCAACGCCCTGTGGCGAAATTGCGTGATTGAACATGGCTCCATCATGCTTCATATTGAAGTGTGATCCCTTCTTAACACAAAAGTTTTCGATTCACGTCAATATCCTATTTTAAAAAGAAGATACAGTGTTTTCAGGAAGTATAGTGTTTTTCAACTTTTTTGACCAATAATCAGAACTTACATGAACTTATTGATTAACAACTTCAAGGATTGATATCACATATTTCTACCTTACTTTCTTAGCACTTACCGGAAAATAAATTACAAAAAACAAACAAGAAGCAGACCTGTAGTCAATAACGAATATGCTCTCCTCGATATTGAATTACAGCATTCAACCGCAGTGGCATCGAATTGATCAAATTACTCAAGTAGCCTTGAAGAATTGCCTAAAATCGTCCACGAAGGGCGAATCGTAGTAAAAAAATCTATACTTTCTTGAAACACTTGTATCTTCTCTCAAAAAGGAGATATTGACGTTTTTCAAGAACCGTTCTATGAAGAACTAAAGAAGGAACAAAAGAGGATCACACTTCAATTTAAAACATGATGAAGCAGAAGATTGGAGAATGGTTCTGAATTATTGTAAATAAAAATTTTAAAATTCCATACTCTCTTGAAACACTTGTATCTTCCTTCAAAAAGTGGTTATCGACGTGAATAAAAAACCATCATGTAGAGAAGAGATCACTCTTCAATCTAAAACATAATGAAGCTAAGTTAACCACTCACCTTTCCCAAAGGGCGTTAAGAAGTTAAGGGTGAAAAAGTAACTTTACTTTTTCCCTGTGTAAGGATCTCAGATACTGAAATGCAGGCTAACATTTGGAAACATGAATCTACGATTTGGTCGGAATTTCACCAAAATAGGACCAGATTGGAAAAAGTTACAGAGCAAACAATTTGGCTAAATTATTTGGTGGCCGTTTGTTTTGCCGGTGAGTGTATATACAAAATAAAGTATGTATGCATGCCAAGGCACTGGATGAGGATTCAATGCTTTGATCTTGTTTCTGCACAAAATTTTTAATAACTCCATCGATTGCTATTGCTCTGATATCCTGAACAAATTGTTCATAAATGCTACTCCTAGGAATACTAGAAATAGGCCGTTTTTCTATTTGCAAAATCACCGAACTAATTATGGCAGCACTGCATTCACATCTAAGCTTCAGAAGAATTACAATGATCAATTTTCTTCCCTTGATATTTTCAATATTTCATTGAGTCGCCTTAAATCACAAGCAAATCACAAGCTGCGGTCTGAATTTGAATTTATATACATAGTATTATGTGTTCTTTTTTGTATCCTATATTTCTATAGTTTTTATTATGATTTTTAACGTGTTGAATGTTTATTGTTATATAACTTATATTTTATACTTTATGTACCATTTGGAAATATATATTATTCTGTGGTGTACTTTGATGAATAAATAAATGAATATAATATCTCAGATTAGTACAAAATAACCTATATCTAAGATTTTAGTCTCGGTTTGACGAATAGGCAATTTGATTTACTATACAGGGTGATTCAGGTTTTAAGGCACAAACTGAAGTGGGAGATAGATCTCATCATTTTAATCAAAAAAGTTTATATAAACATTATTCCGATCTCGTTCAGTAGCGGAGCTACAAACATTCTCATAAAAAATAGTAGATTGTTTTATTAGGATCAAAAGTGACACTTTGTTTGACAAGCGAATTTTGCATTTGCGAGGCGGAGCGTTTAGCGAAGCCGAGCGAAAGCAAAATTTGCGAGTCGAACAAAGTCACTTTTGATCCGAATGAAACATGCTATTTTTTCTGCAACCGAAACAATTAACTCAAATAAACATGTGAAGTAACCACCAATGCCGTGCCTAAGATATATGTATGCAATGCAACAAATATTGACAAATAATCCATGTGGTGAGAATATTCTACCTGCATTAACAGCAGGTTAGGTTTTCTAAGATGTTCGAATTGTAATTTCAATATAAGTACAACCACAGAGTGACATATTTGTGTATGGACCAGGTGCTCTAATGGCTAATACCGCGCCAGTGCCAGCTATAGGAACAAGACGTGGAAAATGTTTGGTTAGTGAGCATATCAACAATGATAATAGAGTTTATTCATTCCTCTCCATACTACACTGTGTTTGACTTGATAATCAAATGAAGCTAAAAAATATCGTTGTTTGAGACAAAAAAACAATTGCTTGCCGTGATTATTCAAAAACAAGTTATCCATCCCGAGAATAACGAATGAAATACAGATCACGCAAGTATTTGAATCTTGAAGGCTTCCCTGATCAAAACAAAAATACTTGACTGAGATGTTTATAATTTCAATACTAAACTATAATAGAAATATTTATATCTCCAGCATGAAGATGAAATGCCAAATCTGCTGAAATCGGAAACAAATCAGGTATGCGTCTCAACCCAAATAACCAACCGTCACAATGTTGTTTAATCTTGATGACGTCCAGTACATCCTTTTTAGTTCCTAGGAGCTAAAATTCAACTTCAGCTCCTAGGAACTAAAATTCAACTTTAGCTCCTAGGAACTAAATATGTTGCCTAGCAACATACCTATTTTTGTGTCAGTAATAGAAACGTCAATTTAAGAGCTAATTTTGGTATCAAAATGGACGACTTTTGTGTCGGTTGCAGAAAAATAATCATATTCCTATTTTGAACCTAAAAATACTCACAAATATCACAAAATACAGTTACATAGGTAGATATAAGATTTGTGAATGTACATAAAAAACAGGAACGAATAGTAAAAATGAACAAACAAAAAATTGCCTAATAGTCTTTTTTGAAAATTTGACTCCTTCAACAAAACAAAAGTGGGCCTTGGTAATCTTAATATTTCACATTGGTCCACATTTTTGAAGAGCTCGTTGAGTAGGTACTATATTATGGAATTTTTGTTTTTGAAAATCGGTCTACGAGTTTCAAATGTTACGGGTTGAATTCGAACACACTGTATATCACTCACTCTTACTGCTCTAACTTATGCTTCCAACCATGGAACATGACAATTTGAGGGTTCTTGTTCTTGCGCATTGAGCAGAAGCATTTTCAGGCGAGCAATTTGGATGAGATTTCCGGGTTGCTGGGATATGACAGATAGAAGTTACGTCAGTGGTTCTCACCTGTTGCATGGGCGTATGAGGAAAATCCTGAAACAGCATTTGTTTCAGGTTTGGTTCCAAAATAGACGAGCAAAGTATCGTAAACAAGAGAAGCAGCTACAAAAGGCGCTGGCTCCTACGGTGCTCCCAGGATGTAACGGAGCCATGATGAGGAATATTTATCCAGGGGCAGCGAGGTCGTATCAGCCCTACCCACATCCCACAGCAATAAACAGATACCCGCAGGTTGGTTAACTTTTTTTCACATTTGGAAAACTTGGTTGCACTTCTGATACGCTCACCCAATCAATATCCAAAATCTAATGAATATATACAGTGGAATAAACAGCGTTGTCGTCTCAACCGATTCTTTACTTGTTTGGATATTTTAACATTCATCGCTCTCAAGATTCAACTGATTTCAACAATGTCATGGATGATAACTCAGCAAGACATATTAAAACTGGGAAATATAATTTTCTGACCAAAATTATTAAAGAAAGCTGACCAAGCATTTTTTCTTCAAATTGCATATTCGAATATTCTATATGAATATATAGATGCCACTAGTAAAATAATTCCGATCCACCCCTTTAGAGGGGTAATTTATTCTTGCAGTTTTTCATAATTCCTTGCTGACCGAGCATTTCTGGTTCATATTTTCCCATCGAATTACATATTTGGATATCTCATAAAGACTTATATATAGATGCCACCAGTGGAATAATTTCGATCCACCCCTCCAGAGGGGTAGTATATTCTTGCTGTTTTTCGAAAATCCTTGCTGACCGAGCATTTCTGGTTCGTATTTTTCCATCAAATTACATATTTGAATATCTCATATGAAATTATAAATTACACCAGTTGAATTATTTGGATCCACCCCTCCAGAGGGGTACTATATTCTTGCTGTTTTTCGAAAATCCCTGCTGACCGAGCATTTATGGTCCGTATTTTTCCATCAAATCACCCCCTGAAGGGGTGGATCAAAATAATTCCACTGGTGGCATCTATGAATCTATATGAGATATTCAAATATGTAATTTAATGGGAAAATGCGAACCAGAGATGCTTGATGGTCAGCAAGGAATTTTGAAAAACTGCAAGAATAAACTACCCCTCTGAAAAGGTGGATCGACATAATTCACTAGTGGCATCAATATATCTATATAAGATATCCAAATATGCAATTTGAAGAGAAATTTCGAATCAGGAATGCTCGGTCAGCATACTTTAACTTTGGTCATCAAATTATATACCCCCGTTTAAAACGCACTTATTCTTGTTTTCTATAAACTGGATTGTGACTTATTATGGCATACATATTAAACTAATGTCATCAGAATTTGATAGAAATGGTTAGTATACTAAAATCGTTCAGTTAGATTGTATAAACCTCGTTTTATATAGTTATTACCGTTACAAGGCCGATATGTTGCAAATAACGGATGAGGTTGAATCTGTTATTTGAGCATCGGCCATGTGTCGTTCAAAACTTTTCGCAATCCCAGTGGAAGATTATATTTTGATTCCGAGGAAAGAACAAACCACGTTCCTTGTAATTCTACAGGAATATCCCAACGTCGCGTTGTCTATGGAATAGTTAACAGCTGCCGGCCGTTAAGCAATCCTAACGGACGGAGGCTCTGTTAACATTAACTTTTCAATTGTCATCAGAATACCGTTAAATCAAAATAACAGTATGAGAATACGAAAAACGTATAATTTAGAATTAGACCGAAATTTGTCAATGGGGTAAAACTGAAATGCTTATAACTATGGTGTGGCTAGTTCAGTAGTAGAAGGCCTCGTCCAAATTATTCGATGGGAACGGCAAGAAGCCAACTTGGTATCCATGATTTTTATTAATTGGGTGATTACTCGCAGAAAAGCCGATAGAGGGCCAATGTTGACTTAAATGGCGTCTTGTGAATCTATTTATTAATTTTCAAAGTTATTTGATGGTATCAGTAAAGTGTTTAATAGTTTTGGTTGATGACAAAATTCAAAACTTACACAGAAATGTATTTCACAAAATTTTGTTGAAATACTCCTGTAAACTAGGTCTATGAAAAAAGACGACGTTGTGGAAAAAGAAAACAGAAGATATTGTGGTTAAAAAGTGCAAAACGGAGGGAAAAGCATCAAAAAATTAGCAAAACTCTTTGCAAAACAGAGATTCAGTGTATTCAGTGTGGTTTCGTGGTTGTACAACAAAGATTAATTAATTTTAATGCTATTCAAACAAGCGGATTCTATCAGCTATCAAGGTGAGAAGTACTACAAGGTAGAATCAGAGAAGAGACAACCAATATTTGTTTTGAAGAGAACATTACTGTGTGGATTCAGAGATGATACCTTAACAACTACTTAACAAGGATATAAGCTGTGCGATCCCTTTGAAAACCACTATAAAAGTTACTACTAAATGCAAACTTTACCTGCTTCAGAATTATGGAGAGATGTGGAACACTTTAATTGTGGACATTATAAGCACAACAATGTGAGTATTGAATGTTTCTTTGATCAGGCCACTAAACTTGTGAACTTGCAATAAATATTGATTATCCTTTCATGTAGTGAGTAGGTAGGGAATATTATCAGAATTCTTAGTTAGAATTTCCACATGATGATAATCATGACATCAAGTCATTAAATAGGTAGCTGAAACCATAAACATCCAATTCTTGTGTTTTCATTTTCATTCCAACTCATTCCTAATAAAGAAAACAATTGTGTTATGACTTGCAGTCTGGAGAATATTTGTGACACTTGATTCATCAATACCACCAGTGCTACTGTATGTATAAGTTGATACATTCAAACAGATCAACTTTCATTGTGAATTTGCTACTGTTCATTATTGTTGATTTTTCCAAAAAGAAGCCATTATACTATCTTGAAATTACAGTTATGTACTTACCATAATTGAAATACTGTCTTTGCATTGTTGGAAACAAACTTAAAGCACACTTCACTGTTTTACCACAAACCAAACCAATGTTTTAATCTCAGTTTCAATGTATTTGATATATAAATTCCAAGTATATTTGGTAGCTTAAAAAAGTTGTCAGCCCACTAGCTAGATCCTCAAAAGCTCAATGCAATATAGGGACTGTGCTAACAAAAATAATATGGTTTTATGTTCACAGAAATCCTGAACAGCATCCTGAAGGCATTCTGATACCACATGTGTACATTTGGGGACTTGACTAGGGTATACATATGTGAAAACCCATAATCATCTGTAAAGGAGACTAGATGTGTAACCCCTTTCAAGTGGAGGATATACTATATGTTGTTGCAATAAACAATAGTACTTATTTTCTGCCCCCACATTTCATGGTCAACATTGATTTTTTGAAAAACAAGAATAATAACATATAATAATATGAAGTTCCTGATTGAAATATCTGGATTCCTTTGAAAGACTGTACCTGGAAATGCTTAATCATTTTCTTTTATTATTTGGCTGCAAGGTTTTAATTTTATTTTCTACCAAAATTCAGTGACTTAAAAAAACTTCCATAAAAATCTACATATTTCTATCTAGGACCTTTATTTTTCAAAATAATCAACTATGGACCATGAAAGGGGGTTGTAGAAATTGCTAAAATGCATGGTGTATCCTCCAGTTGGAACAAGAAGGAAGTGGAATTCTTGCAGGTTAGTACATTTCATTTATATCAGTCAGAGGAGTTTCAACATGAACATAGCTACCTACCCTCTTTTCAATTTCTCTAAGGAACATCCACTCTCTGGGCAGAGTCTCCTATGGAAATTGAAAAAGTGGATTAAGGTCTGCAGTTGAATAGCTACCATTTTATTTTCAATCATTAATTTCCTCTTTATTTTATAAGGCAGGAACTTTCAGTGAGTTTCACAATATTATAGTGAAATTGAAATTAATTCCTTCATATAGATTTAGATTCTTTGAATATCAACTGATGGATAGCAATATTCATCATAATTCAAGAGTATTTATTGCATACTAGAACAATATTTATACACTGTGCCCAGGATACATATTTCATATTTGGTTAAAAATTACCAAGGGGAAATTTGCCATGGATTTCTGGTGTATGAGCAGCTGGAATTCCTTTGAATTGCCTGGATTTCCTTGGAATTCCTTGGATTCCTTTGGAATTTCTTGGATTCCCTTGGAATTCCTTGGATTTCCCTGGAATTCCTTGGATTTCCCTGGAATTACTTGGGTAAAGTGTGGTATATTCCTGGCCTACAAACAACTGTAATTCCTTGGAATTCCTTGGATTCCCTTGGATTTCCTTGGAATTCATTGGAATTTCCTGGAATTCCTTAGAGTTTCTTGGAATTTCTTGTGTGAAGTGCGGTATAATTCTGGTGTTCAAACAGCTGGAATTCCTTGAAATTCCTCGGAATTCCTTGTGAAACTGAAGTTTAGTGTGCACAGTTTTGAACGCGGTTTACCTCTGAAAAGTTACACAATTGAAGGGACATTAACATTACTTTGAAAAATCTCTTTCTGAGTTATTTTCAAAACACGAAATTTCTAGATTTTTGATTTTATTTTTTATGTTACTCTATTTGACATCGGTTTTCTGATCTGACGGTTCGTCTGAGCAATCATCAATTTTGTTTTTTCAAAAACGGCCGATATCTTTATATTGATTGATTGATTGTCTTCATTACCCCAAAAAACATAGTTGTTTATAATAGGGATACATAAATAATATACATAATGTTATACATACAATTATGAAATAAAAGAGATATAACAAGTAAAAAAAATGCAAATAATCATGCAATATCAACCTTGTCTTTTATAAGTAGGTGTTCAAATAAGAAATGAAATTATCAAAGTCTCTGAAGCAGATATTTTTTCAAGTAAATTTTGAATCTAGTTGCTTCCTGTATATTCCTCAATTGACTTGATAATGAGCTGTATAGAACGATTCCTGTATGAAAAATGGATTGTTTGCCGATATTTGACTTATAGGTATTTAATTAATGTAATTAATTTTATTGAAATTCGAAATTTTCAATTTATATAGGACAAATTTAGTTTTTATAGTGATGTCAGATCTAATAAATCTCTAGATTTGTATAAATTCATGGTTGGTTCTCGAACATTTAAATTGAAAATACACTCCAATGTTTTATTTTGTTATTTCAGTGGACTCAAACGTGAAATATTGGTACTTCCCCATATATATTTAATTGGTATTGAAATTTTGAGTAAATAATAACACTTCATTTTAAATTCA